ACCTTCATCTTCACCTCCACCCTCAGCAGAAGGATTTGCCCCAATGTTTACATCAACGGCACCTTGAACAACCCACTGTAATGTAAACAATGCACCACATTATTTCTTTTTACATAGACTAGATAGTCCACCAAAATTTGGTTTGCTAATATATGAAAGTTTGGAAGCAATAATTAACTGGAGACCCTACCTTCCCTTGAACTTCCCAAAGCATTCCATTCTCGAGTTCTTTGTAGGGAAATGAGTCTGAGAGAAGCTCATCACCTGCAATTTGTTTTCCAGTATTTTAAGTTTCAAAATAGCAACCCATCATGAAGAATATATGAAAACCAAATATTCCTACAAGCTGAATGTCCTCTTTTAAAGTCTATATTAACAGAAACAACCTACATGCTCTGAGAATCCAAATCACAGAGATGTTCGGGAAACCATTGTGATTGAGTGCAGAAAGCAAGTCTTGTCTAAGACCACAGTAACAGCTACCCAAAAATTAAGGAACTTGTGCATATAAAGAAACACGGAGGTGCACCAAACAACGAATAATGTAGCTAACCAATAGAAGAATCAAATATCATACAGAAAAAAGCCTGCAATCTCTAATTTTCTTTATGACTACCATAGCCAGATAAACTATAAGATGTTCAAATTGATAATGAAATTACTAGAAACCACTGACTTGACAAAAGTTTTTTGCAGATTTATGGGGCTTGCGCAAGAACACATCTTTTTATGTTTGTCATATAAAATTGACAAAATTTGCACCATAATAAATTAAGTGTTGCTCACACAATAATCTCATGGATCCAAAACACTCATACACAATATTCAGGATCACAGTTAAAACAATTTGGGGCTTTAAAAACCGTTTAAGATGGGATCGACACGTAAAACACCAGAGCTGATCCAGTTCCTTAATTCCCCCCCCAATAATCAATAAAAAATAAAGAAAAGAGGAAGTGTTAATAGCATAGCACCTTGGGAAAACATTCAGTAACACCAGCCAAATCAACCAGATCTTATCAAGCATCAAAGAACAGAAATTCATACAAAATTTCATTATTATTTAATCAATAACAGTTACAAGCCAATAAAACAATACAATCCAAAACTCAAGATTACAAAATTCCTATCAAAAGATTAACACAAAACATGACCAAGAGAATGGCCGAAAACGATAACCAGAAAAATATACGTAAAAACAGAGCACAAAACGGAACCGGGCATTCTATGAATGAAAAAAAACTACAAAGGATAAAATATAAAAAAAAAATTAGGATGGAAACAAGAAAAATTACCAGTGAGGAGATCTTGATAAACCAACATGATGGCAGATTAAACTTTTGCTTTCGAAGAAGAGGAGGACGATAACAAGAAAAAAAACGTAGAGAGCGTGAACGGGTATTTATAACCTGAGAATTCGGGTTTGCTATAACCGACTGGGACTTGGAAATTAATCTAAATAACCCAATTTTTATACGATATTTTTGTGTTTGACTACTGTTCTGTCTCTAATTACTTATTTTTTTTATTTTTTTCTTATTTCAACAAATTAAAATATAATTAAATTAAATTTATTATATTCTCAATTAATTAATTTTAAAAAAGGTATAGCTTTTTTAATTTTTGATTTATCTATTCCATTGTTAATATATATAGAACAGTAAATTCACTGTCAATTAAAAAATGAATAAGTGGTTAGGAACAAAGGGGAGTAATTGAGGTCGTGAAAAAATGGAGTGTTCACGAGTCAGTTTCACTCAGTTATTGGAAGAAATAAAAATAAATCAATTTGAATGATTTTTAGATTATCAAAATCAAACAAAAATAAATATAATATATATTTATCGGTCCAATTATTAATTATACACAAAAAAATTAACAAAAAGAGAAAAAAGATAATAACAATTTATTCAAAACGAAAAAAAATTAAATAACTAATATTATAAAACTTTGAATCACTGAATTTTACTATGCATATAGAGTTTAGAAGGAAGAACAATGACAGTAACCACCAAAAAGATATGATAAATGTTCTCATCATATGCGTTTTTTGTTTACATAAATAAATTCTAAATATTTTTTTATGAATATTTATATATAAGGTATTTATCAAAAACTAAA